CCACAGCTCTAGGAACACCTGCAGGAAGTGATAGGAGGAGACTCCCAACCACAGATCCAGACCCCACAGCTCCAGAGCCAGGAATATCTGCAGAAAGTGTTAGGAAGAGAGAGAAGAGAGAAGGGGGACGAGAAAGCACACGACTACGGGGAAGGGAGAGAGTCCAGTTAGTAACATTGTTAATGGAATGAGGTTGCACCGGGAGGGAGAGAGAGAAAGGAAAGGGGAGCTCGGTGCATCATGATGCATCCCCCGGCAGTCTAGGCCTATAGCAGCACAACCAGGGGTGGACTTACTCTAACTATAAGCTCTATCATAAAGGAAAGTCTTAAGCCTACTCTTAAATATAGAGACGGTGTCTGCTTCCCGGACCCAAACTGGAACCTGGTTCCACAAAAGAGGACTCTGATAGCCGAACGCTCTAGCGCCCATTCTAGTTTTCAAGACTCTAGGAACTGCCAGTAACCCTTCATTCTGGGAGCGCAGTTCTCTGGTAGGGCAGTAAGGTACTAAAAGCTCTTTAAGATAAGATGGGGCCTGACCATGAAGAGCTTTATACGTAAGGAGAAGGATTTTAAATTCTATTCTGGATTTAACAGGAAGCCAGTGCAAAGAAGCCAAGACAGGAGAAATATGATCTCTTTTTCTGGTTCCTGTAAGAACACGTGCTGCAGCATTCTGGATCAGCTGAAGAGTCCTAATGGACTTTTTTGAAGACCCTGATAACAAGGAATTGCAGTAATCCAGCCTAGAAGTAACAAATGCATGGACTAGTTTTTCTGCATCATTTTTACACAGGATGCTCCTAATTTTTGCAATATTACGAAGGTGAAAGAAGGCGGTTCTTGATATTTGCTTAATGTGAGAGTTAAACGACATGTCCTGATCGAAGATAACTCCAAGATTTCTCACAGTGGTGCTGGAGGCCAGGGCGATGCCATCCAGGGAAACTATATCTCTAGATAATGCGTCACGAAGGTGTTTAGGCCCTAGAACAATAACTTCAGTTTTAGCTGAGTTTAACATTAGAAAATTGCAGGTCATCCAGGTTTTAACATCCTGAAGGCACATTTGAAGCTTAGCTAGCTGATGAGTTTCATCTGGCTTGATCGATAGGTATAACTGAGTATCATCTGCATAGCAATGAAAGTTGATAGAGTGTTTCCTGATAATATTACCTAAAGGAAGCATATATAAAGTAAAGAGGATTGGTCCGAGAACGGATCCTTGCGGAACTCCGTGGCTAACTCTGGCATGCATGGAGGACTCATCGTTAACATGCACAAACTGAAACCGATCTGATAAATAGGACCTAAACCAACTTAGAACGGCTCCTTTAATTCCGATGAAATGTTCCAGTCTCTGTAGTAGGATCTGATGGTCAATGGTGTCAAAAGCAGCACTAAGATCTAATAAAACCAAGACAGAGACGAGTCCTTTGTCTGATGCCATTAGGAGGTCATTAGTAATTTTCAACAGTGCGGTCTCTGTGCTATGGTGAGCTCTAAATCCTGACTGAAAATCCTCAAACAAGCTATTGCTATGTAGATAGTCACACAGCTGTTTGGCTACTGCTTTCTCCAGGACCTTGGAGATGAATGGAAGGTTGGATATAGGTCTATAGTTGGCTAAAACATCTGGGTCCAGGTTAGGCTTTTTCAAAAGAGGCTTAATTACAGCAACTTTAAAGTACTGTGGCACATAGCCTGTTAATAAGGACAGATTGATCACGTCTAGCAGAGAAGTACCGACTAAGGGTAGGACTTCTTTAAGCAACCTAGTCGGGATGGGATCCAAGAGGCAAGTTGAAGGTTTGGATGAAGAAATGATTGAAGTTAGTTGACAAAGATTGAGGGAAGCAAAACAGTCAAAACATATAACTGGTTCTGGTCCTACAGTTACTGAGTTTAAAGATAAGTCGATGCTAGTTGAGGGCAAGTCTTGGTGGATTTTGTTCCTGATAGCTAGAATTTTATCGTTAAAGAAGCTCATGAAGTCATGGCTAGTGAGAGCTATTGGAATACTTGATTCAATAGAGCTGTGGCTCTCAGTCAGCCTGGCAACAGTGCTGAAAAGAAACCTGGGATTGTTCCTATTTTCCTCAATTAAAGACGAGTAATATGCTGCTTTGGCATCACGGAGGGCCTTCCTATAAGCTTTAAGACTATCTTGCCAAGATAAACGAGACTTTTCCAGCTTGGTTGAACGCCAGTTCTTCTCAAGTTTCCGAGATATCTGCTTTAATTTGCGGGTTTCACTAGTATACCATGGAGCTAACCGTCTTTGTTTAAGAATTTTCTTCTTTAGGGGGGCTACAGCGTTAAGAGCTGTTCGCAGCGAGCCTTCAACACTATCAACAAGATGATCAACTTGGGAAGGACTGAAATTAACATAAGAGTCCTCTGTTTCTGTACGACTTGATAATGGATGTAGAGCTGATGGAATCACATCCTTAAATTTAGCTATAGCACTATCAGACAGGCATCTTGAGTATACATTTTTACCCAGTGGAGGGTAATTCAGCAGTAAAAGCTCAAAAGTTAGCAAACAGTGGTCAGATAAAGACGGATTATGTGGGAACACTATTAAATGTTCAATTTCAATACCATACACCAGAACAAGATCAAGGGTGTGGTTAAAACAGTGAGTCGGTTCATGAATACTCTGAGAGAAGCCAATGGAATCTAACAGAGAGATAAATGCAGTACTGAGGCTGTCATTCTCAACATCCACATGGATATTAAAGTCCCCTACAATAATTACTTTGTCCGTTTTAAGGACTAAAGTTGACAAAAACTCTGCAAATTCAGATAAGAATTCAGAGTATGGACCGGGTGGTCGGTACACTATAATAAATAGAATAGGTTGCAGTGATTTCCAGCTTGGGTGGGAAAGACTCAGAACAAGGCTTTCAAAAGAGTTATAGTTCAATTTAGCTTTAGAGCTGATTACAAGACTGGAGTCAAAGATAGCTGCAACTCCACCTCCTCGACCTGTGCTTCGAGGAATGTGAGTATTCAAGTGGCAAACTTTGGGGTATTTGTCATGGTACAGCTGTTTATATCACAGCCCTGTCACAACCCCGTGTCACGACATATAGCTGTTCATCCCAGAAGTGAAAAGGCTTGACCGCTCCAATCTAACCAATGAGCTATTTGAGGTAGGATGTAGGGGGTTTGATGGTGATTGATACAACTCTTCCCCTGCAGACTGCAGCTTATGGCAGAGCAAATATGGACACCGACCAACGGAAGCGCACCACCTCTTTATGCTCCTCTTTGATGAGCAACAAGTCAAAAGAGGAGCCTCCGTTTCTCAGCAAAGAGGATGGGTTTGTTTGCGTTAAAGTTTATTTAACAAGTTCTTAAATAAAAAGCAGGAGTGCGCTGGGAATTAATTCAATGAAATACATTTTTCTCCCTGACACTGACAGGGAGGATGCAAATGACAAGAACAGACCTGCAGTCCCTTCTTCAGTGAGTTACAGGTCAATGACCCCACCTCCAAATTTTCAGATGGCAAATCCGCATGTCAGGTAAGACTTTTGAGAGTAATTAAGATGGTGAAAATTGAGAATCATCAATTATCTTAACAACCAAAATCAAACATCCGCTTCAACAGAAATATACTACGATAGCAATTTCAGACATGGTTAAGAGATTAAAAAAAATCCAAAGGATGGATTGCAGGGATGTAAAATGTTTTGGCAGAACAGGGGCAATAAGAGAAGATAGGGTGTTGAATGTCTGTGATGTCTGCCTCCACATGCAAAGTTATTGGGGATTTGACCTTTGTTACCAGCAATTTTATGGACTGAATAATAATTGAAAATGAAGTTGAAAGACCCACAATTGTTAGTTGCCTTTATCTATCACCAGGGTTGTGTATTGAGCAATTAAAAAAACATTTCTAAATCAAATAAAAAAACATGATGACAGGCTATTTTGGTTTGTGGTGAGGGCGGTATGGATGTGTGGTGGTTGTATGGATGTGTGGTGATCCTGTGGCTTTGGCTTGGTCTGGTTCTGGGTTTGCTGTCCTCTTGTCCGCTTATGTGGTTCCTGGTGGCCTGTTGCCCTGATATTTCCCCCCTGTCCTGGCTCCCAGGGCACTGAAGGGGGTGGGGGTGTTGGCCCGTTGCATTTGGCCGTCTGGGGTGCCTGGCACTCTCGGGTCATCGTTCTCGGGGGGCCTTTGCCCTACAGTCATGGCCCACTTACAAAGAATGCTTATTTTTCCTCATCAGATGGTTATCAATTTTTATAAATTCATATGATGCGATTTTCTGGAATTTTCCTTGGGATTCTGTCTTTCACTGTTAGAATGTACATATGACTAAAGTTATATATCATTGCATTCTTTGTAAGTGGGCAAACTGGCAAAATCAGCAAGGGGTCAAATACTGTACTTATTTCCCCCACTGTAACTGGGCACCATCTGTTTGAAACCTGGGCTGCATGTCTTGTAGATTTATACTCTCTCTCACGCACACACGTACACACACACAAACACACACACACACACACACACACACACACACACACACACACACACATAGTCATTTACTCATACACACTGATGCATTGTAAGATGCATCTCAAAGATATTATGACAGACATAATATCTTTGTAGTAACATTATATATATATATATATATATAGAGAGAGAGATAATAACAAAAGAAATTTAGAAAACTGTATAATCAGGTTTATTTCTTTTTGTCTCTTTACAGAAATGTGATTCCAGATGCAGCTGCAATACAGAGTCCTGTTTGTGTGCAGCAGATTCAAACGGTATGTCACTTTTTCCCCCTTGAAATGTTAATCCTCTTTCGAAAAAAAAGAAAGAAATAGTTTTCTACATTTTCCTTTTTTTTAACTTGTTGATGAACAGGGACACAAAGGCCTTGAACTCCCGCCACTGATTGAAGACTGGACCAAGGAGCATGTAAAGGACTGGCTTGTTTTTACTCTAAGAGTTTCAAAGAAAATTGCAGAGCATCTCTATGATCAAGAGTTATCAGGAGCATGCTTGGCATCCTATGAGAAACAGGACTTATACGACCTAGGAGTTCCAAAGGCTCCAGCAATACAAATCATGAGACAGGTGGAGAAGTTAAGGAAATATATGGAGACATCCGAGTCCCCTTTTAGGAGTGATTTTGAACTCAGACAGAGTGACAACTGGAATAGTTCAGAAATGTCAGAAAATATGGATGAGTATGTCGAAACTGAAACAGTGTCATCAGATTCAGGTTTTCAGAGTTCCAGCCCTGCAGTGCAAATGTTGCAGATTGCTAGAAACAAAATAAGATCTGTTATAAATCAAACGAGTGACATCGAATCTAATTTGGTCATTCCTAGCAACACAACTTCTCCACAACCACAGAGAAGAACGTGTCAGATCAGGCCCTTTGACAAAAGCTACCCCTCCATCTTCTACATAGAAAATGACACCCTTCCACCTGAGGCTGGTCCAAGTAATCTACTTGACCCTATTCACGAATACCACCTTTTACCGAGTCCAGATGAAGTCAGTGAAAGAGAGATCCTTTATGAATTCACAAAGGAAGTGTTCAGTTTTGCTGCCAGCTGCATGAATTCACGAACCAATGGAACAATTCATTTTGGGGTGAAGAGCCAACCAGACTCACAGCATGGTCAAGTAGCTGGACACAAGATCACTTCTTTTGAGGGATACAACCAGGAATTTCAATCATCTCTGAGTGAATTCTTTCAGGAGCAACACATAAATGCTGCTAGAATGTGCATCAGACCCCCTAATTACATACCAGTTCACCATGAAGATGGCACATCGACAGACAGATGGGTTATTGAGGTTGATGTGGTCCCAGCATATCTACAAACTCAGGACAGTACTTTCTATACTCAATTAAATATTGCATCAACAGAAAACAAACAACAATGTGAAACCGAATGCCTCTTTGTCAGGGATGGCCCAAGATCAGTCAACATTCTAGCAGATACGAATTCCCGGGTCGTTCAGGAGAAGCTCAAACGCTTTACTGATAATATCAAGAATGTGGTTTCAGCACGAAAATCAGCAGAGGAAAAGCCAGAGAAAAGGTCTCCTCAAAGCAACCAAGGGCAAAGACTAAAGCAGCTAATAACACGTGGAGGAGATGCATTTGAAAGTTCCCTTCAGGTTATTATGGTTACCGACAAATGCCACTCGTGCCATCTGGAGCATATGGATTTTTTGAAAGACCTGAGGTTGTTTGCTGTGCTTGACTTTGATCCCGAGTCAGATATAAATGGAACATGCAGCTTTTACAAAACAGATCGCATTGCTAATCTGCATTACCCATACATGTACACCACTCAGGATAGTTTAACTGTAGTCATGGGAAAACTGAACTTGTTTAAGCAAACAAGCTGGGTTTTCTGCAATGGGAGGAAGAATGAAGAAAATGAGACGGACAAGCCCTTAACACCTGGTGAATGGCTGAAGAGACGCTCTGGGGAAATCAGCAACATGGTTAACTTCCTTGGCAATCCTGATTTGATTTCAAAAGAGAAACTCCTAGTTGTGTTTGTTCTTCACTCAGCAGTAACTGACGTCTCTAGCCCGTTTTTGGAGACATTCTGTGCTATCCACCGGACACTGGAGGGAGTTGACAACATGCTGTGTATATGCAAAGACTCAACTGTATTTAGTCACTGGAAACAGCTGATAGAGGTTCGCTGTAAGGAAGACATTACCAGCAAATGTATCTATGAACTGAGTCTGAATGAGATATCCAGCACTGTGAAAAAACTTAAAGAACCTCAAAGACAGTCCTCCCAAAGATTCCTGCCATCCACAGGCTCAAGCTCAGTTGTGCTGACCAAAAAAGATGAAGAACTTTTTACAGTTCTGGACATTCTGAGTGAAAATGAATGTGAGAACACCGAAATTGAAAACAGCGAGAACTTCCATGACTTCAAGAAGAAAACTGAAGAGGATTTTTATAGAGGAGGACAAGTAACCTGGTGGAACTTTTACCTGTCTGAAAACACAGGTTGCCTGCCATTCATCAAGCGGGACAAATACAATGAGCTGTATGATCTGATCACACCAGTTGGATATCACACACAGCCGTGTGTTATGATCAACCTCTTCCATCACCCAGGATGTGGGGGGACAACTCTGGCAAAGCATGTTTTGTGGAACTTGAGGAGAAAATTCAGATGTGCGTCTGTTAAAAACAACACAGCAACAAACAATGAAATTTCCAACCAAGTTGGCAACCTCCTCAGATTGGGAAAACAAGACCAGCCAGGCTACACACCCGTACTCCTCCTGGTGGACAACTGGGAGGATGTTGAGGATCTAAAGCAGTGCATTATTGCCAGTAACTGGAGGCCCTATAATAGTCTCATGGTTATCATACTGAACTGTGAGAGGACTCAATTTCCTGAGCCGAATGCTAGAAATAGTCACATAGCCAATGTGTTCATTACCAACAAGTTGTCTGCCAAAGAACAAAGTAAGTTTTCTGAGAAACTTATACAAATGAAGGATGACCATGCGGAGCCTGACACGTTCTATGCCTTCATGATCATGGCAAATAACTTTAGTGAGACTTACATCGGAAATCTAGTCAGTAACATTATCAAAGATATCGACACTTCAACACCACAGGGCAGGTTGTATGCCTTTCTTTCTTTGCTAAACACATTTGTCAATGGATCATACATGTCACTCTCTTTATGTGAAGAGTTAGTGGGCATAAAGAATGCTCTGTGGAAGCAGGAAACTCTTGATGATAAAATGAATCCCTACTCAACACTTCTGCTAACATTTAGTGTTGAGGAGCATGGCACCTTTCAGGCAGTAAGATTCTTACACCCAATGATTTCCAACAAGTGTCTTCTAATCCTGAACCAAGAGCAAAAACTTCCTTTGTCTGAGATCGTCATTGACATTTTGCATTGTGACCGAATCTACAAATGCTGCATGGGAAAAGATTTCCTGGTCCACAACATCCAAAGCATGCTCATCACACGCCACAGAAAAGAACAAGGGAATGAAAAAGACACTCTGTTCTCTCCTTTGGTTGAAAGGATTGCTGAAGAGGAAGGACCGGAAAAAATAAAAGAAGTCCTGGAGAAAGCCATCGAAAGATTTGACAGAAGTGCAACACTGCCACAGGCACTGGCAAGATATTTCTACTTAAAAGAAAAAGACTTTGGTTCTGCCCTCTATTGGGCTCAGGATGCACAACGGAAAATGTCAAATTCATACATCGCAGATACAGTTGGACAGATTTACAAGAGCCAATTCAAAAATAAACTAGAAGATTCTAAGCCTCTCACACCTGAATCACTTGACGAATGCCTAACTTTATGTTCCAAAGCTGTGAAAGCATTCCAGGAGTCTCAGGAGCTCGCCAAAACAGATCAACAAGTAGACCATTTTGATCTGCACGGCGTAAGGAGACCAAAGAGCTACAATACAGCAGGTTACGTTGGAGAGACTGAAGTCATGATAACCTTACTTGACATCATCAAAGATATTTTTGAAGTCAATTACAAACTTCAAAATGATACAATTTTACAAGTTCTCAAAGGTCACAACTCTGTGAGCAATTTACGTTGTGACCCCGGGAACACAACCATGTGTCGGTTTGTGACGGTCCTGGCAAGCCATGAGAGATTTCTGACCTCCCTAAAGCCAAGGCTGAAGGACATTTTCAATTTCTTCGAGAACTACTTCACATACCTAAGGCCTAGGTCACGGGAAAGGGAAACAGCTGATGAAAAACACAAAAGAAAACTGTCAGAGTTCTTCAGAAAATATTTGCAAATATTCAGTCAGTCAGAAGAGGAGAGATTAAATGAAAAAGCAAGAAACCCAAATTTGAGTCTCAGTCAAGAGCTGGTGGACCACAGGTACTACCTGGAAACAAAGAGAGCAGACTCTTTTGCTGGACTTTTGCAGTGCTTGAGTGACAAAAACAGGGTGGAAATGGAACACATTCTCAAAAATTGGAAATTCATCTTTGACAACACACCCTCCAGATCCCTGTTAGATACAGTCAACTTCATTTTGGCAAACATAGTGATGCACTCCATCAATCCCTCTTCAAAATGTTTAAAAAAATATGAAGAGTTAGTCGATCTTCTGAACAAAGAACTACAAAAAGAAGGCACCCGTTCACGTTTCACAGAGTTGTATTACCTGTCCATGCTGCTCATGTGGCCCACAAAAGATAGAAAACTTGAAAGTTTTCCAACCTACTCACATGTTAGCACATACATCACATCAACTAAGAAATCTTTCCATCGGCGCTTTTCACACATGTTTCCAGCAAGGAGTGCCATTGCTCATTTCTTTCTTGGTAATTCCTCTGGACTAAGGCGAATAGTTTCCAAAGTGAAACTTGACCAAATGGTCTGTGTTCGAGGACAGAGCAATCTGCACAATCTCTGGCAGAGTGGAGCAGCTTGGAATGTTCCAGAGGTTCAGAAAGAGCTGTTACGGATCAAAGGGAAATTGGAAAAAGGAGAGATTTTTGTGAACTATGGCGGCAGCCTAAATATGTTTGTGCGTCCAGTTTACTTAGGGGACATCCGAAGTGGGTACAGTCGGGAGGAAGTATCCTTTTACCTTGGTTTCACAATGGAAGGACCTGTGGCATATAACATTAAGTATGAAAATGACCCATAACAGATATTAAATTCTTCCGGCTCTCGGCGAGTGCAGACGTGTTTCTCTCTGCTCCCTCCCCTGCCCTTGTTGCCCGCTTGCTATCTCTGTCCTGTTGTATCTCAGAGCCTCTCTCTGCATTTTCACTTCCTAAAGCCTAACATCAACCATGGATTTGGTCGGCTGGTCTCTCAACGCAATTGACAAAATCTTCTCTACCCAAAGACAAGCTGCAGGGGCTGCAACTTTTCCAGCTGGGACTCATCCTGCGGGTTACACGATGGATGCCTGGAAGACCTGGAGGGTTTTATGCCTCTCAGTTCTCTCCGTGGAGGACGTCGAGGACCTATACCTATTTGGATTCATGATAACCGGGTTCCTGCTGATTGGAGTTGGTGGATACCTAGGTTTTCGAGAAATTCGGAGGCTGATGGCAACTGGTGGCAAGCTTCCTGTCGAGCCGGTTTACCGGGCCATCAACACTCTGACTCAAACCTTGCGCAAGTTGTCTCGCAAACATGATGCTCTGGTGAGCAAACTGGAGACTCAGTGGAGCAGTCAGGAGGCTCATAGGAGCAAAATGGGGACGCTGCCTGACAGCATGAGGGTGATGGAGAACACCTTGGAGAAGTTGTTGGTTCGGATGGAAGGAAATTAACACAATTCGGCTGAATTGGATCGCCATTGGGAGACCTGCTGAGGACTTAAGGCAGACAAAACACGCTCTGTCTGGAACAAAGCTATCTCTCTTATCTCAATCTGGCCTCCCGAGAGCGGTCTTGCAGCTACTACTCTGCAACTTTGCCCTGGATGAAACTGCAGACGGATGCTTTGCCCACCCAACCCCCCCTCCTCCTCCCAAGCAGGAGTTTGGGCATCACAAGGACAAATTCCATCTAGCCTGTGGATGTGGACTCCAGCTTGCTTACACTTACACACACACAAGTACTGACTTCATGCATTCCTTGGACTCACTGCCTCGCTGTTACCTTTTCCCTTCCTTCCAACCCCCCATCCCTCCCTCCCTATGTGTCCTTGATGTTGTGATTTGACTGTATCTGTGCTTTAGTGTACTGAGATGTTTTTTTTTAAAATCACTGTTACGTCCCCTGTAGGGGGCGTAGCACTGGGCATTTTTTTCCCCCTCTTCCCCCAACCGCTTTCCCAATGTATTCTTTTTGTTCTGAAGAAAAATGGTGCGCCCTCCTGTGTGGCTGCCCTCAGTCTTCCCGAACTGGTGTATCTATGTGTTTTGTTTGTTTGATCTTGGTACGGGCTGTACTGGAAGTCAATTTCTCCCTGGAGATCAATAAAGTATATTCAATATGATTGATAACTCTATCACAACTGTACAGTGGACAAGGGATACCAACTCATAATACTTTAGTGAGTTGTAAAAATCTGATAGACCTGATACCAGGGGAAGAATTTTTTTTACTTATTGCATGGTAATAAATGTTAACCAGCCTTTCCAGACATTATTTTTGTTAATTTTATTCATATTTTGTTAAAGGAACAAATAAATATGTTGCATTAACCCTATAATGACAAATGTATCATATTTGATACATACGGTTTCTGAAATGTTTTGCGTCTGTCACCTTTGCATAATTTAATGGTAAAAACATTGCTCAAAATCCTGTTGTACACAATCAGATATACCTGATAATAGGGGGAAGAAGACTACACGAGAAATAATCTTGACTTATCGCATAGTAATCAATTATTAATATCAAAAATGTATTTCTGATTTTTCTTTTTAAATATTTTGTTAAAAGGGCACATAAAGACTTCAAACCAAAAAAAAGTACTTTTGTTTTGTTTTATTCTTGGATCAGGCTTTAAAGAGTTAACACATTTTAAATTTCCTCTCTAAGTTTTCTTGGATCAGACTTTAAAGGCTGTATTTCAAACATGAATAAAAATCATTGATGTTGAACTAAATGGAGCTTTTTTGTGAGTGTATATACCAATTAAAAATATCTGAATTCATTGCTAACCATCTGGAACCACTATCTGTATGTCATTTGAGGCAGCAAAAGATTATCAGGGAAGGCTAGTGTGCAAAATGTCATCAGGGTGGTTCTTGGATGGAAGACTCAGTTGCGGAGATGAGGGAAAACAAGGTTTATTGAAACAAAAGACCAGAGTCCAGACAAAGTACAAAGCAAAGCTGTGGAAAACTGTGAGCAAAGTAACAAAGCAATAAGCAAACAAGACTGAGGCAAAGTAACAACATAACGATTAACAAAACTGTGACTATGACTGTGGCAGAACTATGACGAAAACAAACCTGGCGTGGGGGTGACGAAGGACAGGACGGACAAGAAGACGAAAACGCACTCGCGCCAGACAAGGGGAAACAGGACTATTTAAACACAAGAGGGAGGGAAACCCCAGGTGTACACAATAGGTAATCAAGACGAGACAAGACACCAGACGTGACAGAGCCCCCCCCTTAAGGGACGGCTCCCAGACGGCCCTAACACACACGAGGACCACGGGAGGGTGGGGGGGGGGGGAAATCAGGAACAGAGGGAACAAACACAAGGCGTGGAACATGGCGTGTGGTTTGACTGGGTAACATGGCTGGGGAACATGGCTGGGGACATGACAAGGGACGTGGGCGTGGCTTGGGACATGACTGTGGGACTTGAAGTGGTGGCTGGGCGAGCATCCACTGGCTCGCTAACCGGCATGGAATTGAGGAGCGAGCCCGGTTGGGCTCGCTCATGAGTTTCTGTCCGAGTTGGCGAGCCCCCCTTAGGGCTCGCACATCAGCATGGAAATGGAATGCGTGGACCTGGAGTGGCTGGGGACAGGACGAGGGACATGACGAGGGCGAGGCTGGGGACAAGGCTGGGGGCATGGCGAGGGACATGGCTGGGGGCATGACTGGGGACATGGCTGGGGGCATGACTGGGGGCATGGCTGGGGGCATGGCTGGGGGCATGACTGGGGACATGGCTAGGGACATGACGAGGGCGTGGGCGTGGCGAGCCTCCCTGGCTCGACCACGGGCACGGCGGGAAGACGAGAGCGTGGGCGTGGCGAGCCTCCCTGGCTCG